ATATTCCGTCTTATTCTGCAAACTTTTGCTGAGCCTAAATTATGCTAGGTACTGGGGATACGAGCAGATGTCTTAAGTGAGTTTATCATCCAATGAGGAGAAAAGACAGAAAATCTATTAAATTAGAAATCCTGAGGGTGAGGTCCAGCAATTTATACACATATTTTAAAAGCTTCCCCAATGACGCTGATACACACAAGGTTTGAAAATCATAGGTAGACTACATTTCTAGTCAATCAAAATCCCCAAGCAATTTTATGGAGTCCTTCTTTTAGATGTGTAGAATTCCTGCCATATTTTACTGCTTTGTTCCTCACCCCATCCCCATCACCATCTTTTAGACCTAAAAGAGCCTTAAACAGCCTTTATACTCAAAATCTACATTTTCGGATGAGGAGGTTCACAAACAGAGCAATATGGAGGTGTGGCCAAGACAATCACTCTGGTACTACTACACAGTTCCTCTAACTCCTGGTTTAATCCTCTTGTCTCTCCTGGCTGGGCAAATTCAGTACTATTATACCACCTTGTAGGAAAAAAGAGAATCTCCTTTTGTAAAATGTTTCCATTATACTTATACACCCTAAGGGAAATCATAAATGCCTTCAATCTTACTAATTCTCTACATTTTTCTTCACACAACCTCTTATTTTCCATTTACTTTAGACAATGTCTAAGGATGCATGGTTATCACACTGCCATTGTATTTTATTTTCAAAACCAAGTTCTGGTATCATTAATTTTCCATAACATACCAGCTACTCAAACATATATTTTAAAATATGATTGTCAGATGGGACTGTCCTCTGGGACAGCTGTCAGAATCCTTTTCTGGGTTAGAGGTCAAGAGCAAACCCTAAGGTGCCATTAAGAATATTCTGGTGATCGGTATGCTTATGGCATTGATTGTGGTGGTGGTTTCATGCCTGTGTATTTATCTCCAAACTCACCAAGTCGTATACAGTGAATATGTACAGCTTTTTGTGTGTCAATCATACTTCAATAAAGATTTTTAAAAAGAAACAAAATACATAAAATTTAACAAGCTTATAGAAATCTTTATGCTCTATGAGCTAGTGACTCTATACTTTGTGCCCAGGCATAACTTTTCATAAAGTGTTATTCATAATCACAATATTATTTATAAAACTTATGAGGGAAATATAAAAATTAAGGTTAAAAAAAGAATATTCCTATATATCTTTTGATTGCCCTCATTATTATATCAACACTGCCAACCAAAATCTGTGGAGTAGTTTGTGATTTACACTATACATTTATATAGTCTCTCCTTTGATTGCCACAACTCCTTTTACAGGAGAGCAAAGATGTTCAGAGGAAACGGTGACTTTCCTGAGGGAATGTTGCTGGTAAATTCTCCAGCAGGGCTTAGATCTCAGATTTGTAGCTGGCAAGTTTAAGGAACCCATGTACATTACAGGACTATCGAGGTAATCGCAGTGCATTTTAGTAATTAGTGCATAATAGTAATTAGTGTTCTTTAGAGACTTCTACTGCTTTTTTCTCATGACAATGCAAGTGGGTGATAAAACTTTGTTTTGTGAAAGATGGAATTCATTTTAAACTACTAAAGTTACATAAAACTACTCAGTGAGCAGGCAAACTAATCATTATGTATAATCATTATCTGATAGATAATCTGATAGATTTGTTCTTATTACCACAGGAGTAGTGCTGGTATCATATTTGTAATAATTTCAAATACATTAATTTTGTGGTCATGTTAAATTATTGTGAAAGATATGGATATTGAATCATATTTTATTGATTTCCACATTTCCGTACAGATAAGGGTATAATTGCATTAATTCTTTATGGTTTTCTTTTGCAGATGATATACCAATTCACTTAGGAACATTCATGCATTTCTAATATCTAGTCCTACTGTAATAAACTATTTTATTGCAGCTACAGTTTCATTTGAATCCAAAATTGCAAGAAAAGAGTGAAAAGAGATGGGCCTGGCTTGGAGAAATGTTATATATACTTCATTGTCTTGTAATATATATATATATATCATTATACAATATAATGTATAGTATAATTATGAATATATTGTATAAAATACATATTATATATAAACATAATGAGATTATATAAACTACTTTATATAATATGTAATGATATGTATATACATATATATATTACAGATCAGGTAGTTTTGCATGAAGACAACTGGCATATAGATGTTTCCATCCGTATAAGAAGTCATATGCAAATGCATGTGTTGATTCAAAGGAAAGTGGAAGGGAAGCTGAGGGTGACTCAAGTCAAGCCACAGCCTCTGATCATTCAGTGTGGTGTATCAGAAAACAGCCTTTCCTTGGGAAAATAAGTTATATGTTCCCATTCTGATGCTGCTGATTTCTAGCTGAGTGTTTATAGGAAATCATTTTAATTTTTTGGATATGAGTTTCTGCTGATGGAAAATCAGAAATGTATATTAGATCAGAAATATTCAGCCTATCTGCCTGTCTATCTGCCTATCTCTCTCTCTCTCTCTTTCTCTCTCTATCTATTTATCCATCCATCTATCCATCTATCCATCTGTCTGTCTATCTATCTATCTATCTATCTATCTATCTATCTATCTGTCTGTCTGTCTGTCTGTCTGTCTATCTATCTATCTATCTATCTATCTATCTATCATCATCATCTGTATACCTAGCTCCCTACCTGTTGATGTGGAACGTTTTCAGAATGAAATCTTCTCTGCAATCCCAAAATTGTCTCATTGGCTCAGTTTCCCTTTCTATTTCCAAACATCCATCAGTATCACTTATCCTCTTCTAGACTCTCTGTTCTTCCCAAGTCACCTTTCCAGGATAATATTATTTTATGAAATATGATTTGAAAAAAAAATTGGACCAAATGGTCTTTTTTTCCCTTATACTCGAACACTCAATGATTGAATACAAGGAGGAGACTCTCAAAATGAATATAAATTTAAGATTTATACCTCCCTCCCTCTGAAATTACCCTGGAGTTTATCATAGTGGATGGTTTGAGTAAAATTCTAACTTTACTTCTTTATAAATGAGTAACCAATGCAATTATTTTAATAAATTTATTATTCCTATAAATTTATGGTTTCTTGTATCAATTCCATCTACTAAATATCTCATTCAAATATCCTTAATTACTTAATTATACATTGATTTGTACTTTTCTTTCTAAAATAACTATTCTTTCCTATATATGCAATCACATAAAATTCAGATGTTTATAATCTTCCATATAAATTTTAATGAGTTTGTAATTTTCTATTATGTAACCTATTGCAGTTTCGATTGTGATTTCACTGTCTTTATAAATTTACTTGAGGAGAACTGATATTTTCACTAACTAGGATTATAGCACATTTTACCATTAATTATATCTTTTTTATGTTCTTCACTAAAGTTTCATGATTTCATTTATATGGTACTTACATAATTCTTATTGAATGTTTTCCTAATTATATTTTAATATGTATATTTTTCTTTTTATTATTTTTGTAATGGGATGCTTTCTTTCATTAGATTTTAGTAATTGATAAATGCTGGTGTGTATATAAAAGCTGCTTTTTTAAGATGTTAAACTTAAATCTGTAAACTTTTACTGATTTTAAACACATTTCTGACGACTTTGTTGGTATCCAATCATATTCCTCACCAAAAGTGATGGGTTTATCTCTCCTTTCAAATACTTATACCTGCCAGAATATAAAATAGTGCTTTTGGCAAAAGAGTTGACGGTTTCTTATAAAGTTAAAACTACAACTACAACTTGACCCAATAATGTCATTTTCATTTCTAGGTATTAATACAAGAGAAATAAAAACATATATCCACAGAAAGAATTGTACTTGAATTTTCATAGCAGTTTTATTCACAACAGCTAAAAGTTAGAAGCAACCCAAGTGTCCATCAACAGGGAAACCGGTAAACAAATGTGGTTAATTCTATAATGCAATTCAGCAGAGCCATACAGAGGAAGGAACTACAACATGGATTGACTTCACAGAGAAGCCGAGTCAAAGAAGCTTTTTGTTCTAAGGATATCTTTGTAGCCTGAGTATTTAGATTATTTATTTTCAATCTTACCTGACTTTATTAATTATATTTAAGGGTATAATTTCATCGCTGAAAGGTCCCAGTCAGCAGTGTAGAAATAACCTAGGGGCCAATGTGCAGAGGCCATTGCTTGCTCATTTGTATAACAATGATACAATAGAAAAAAATAGTAGGTTAGGATACCTGGAACCTTGGCTACAACTTGAGCTCTGATACAAAGTTTTCTGGAACGTTGATTAAGTATGTCACCTAATCTTTCTGAAGTTGGTTTTCTTCTTCTCTAAAATAAAAAGATTAGAGTAGATGAGGGGCCCACAGACTGTGACTTGCAGGCCAAATCTGGCCCACCACTTGGTTTTGTAAATATTTTAATGGGACACAGCTACATTCATTTGTTTATGTAGTTCCTATGTCCGCTTTCCTTCAGCGAAGGTAGGGTTGAGTAATTGTGAAAGAGACCATATGGCCCACAAGCCTAAAATATTTACTATTTGGCCTTTTACAGAAAGATTTGCTGACCCCTGGACTAGTCTATAACATAGGCCTCCTTCAACTTAAACCATTTTTGATTAAAAAAAAGATTAAAAGTCTTTTCATCTTAGTCAGAGTTCCTCCTCCTTATTTTTGCTTACCCTTTGAACAATTAACCGATACTTCAACTACAGAGTCTATTTGTAAGTTTCATACCAAACGTCATTTCTCCTTCAACAAAAATGATGCCATTGTGATGTTGCTGCCTGCATAAATCAGTAGCTATTTCATTTTCCTGTCTAACCTGAAATGAAAATGGAAAGAGAAGGCAAAAGAAGGGTGCAGGAAAATGAAATATATAATATTCAATTGAAATAACATGAGTATTTTATGTTGAGAAATAACATGAGTATTTTATGTTGAAATCAGTGTAATTATCTCATTGCCTTTCAGCCAGCGGCATACATCCCATCTGTCTTGGTGTGAGAGACCCCAGTTATTCCATCTCAAAAGTGGCTCAAGTCTACACTTTCACATCTCATCTGGCAAAGGACAAAAATTGGTCAGAGGCAACCCATTCGTTTTAGTCACTTAAGTTTTTATTTGGCAGACATTGTCCTTAATTATTAATTCACTATTTCAACCAACAATCATGAATTATTACTTGCTTCAAATTGTCAGAAGTCAAATAAAACCTCTCAGAAATCGTTATGTCTCCCTTCCCTAATAAAAGTCAAGATTGTTTTGCTATAGGATGAATCAAATTTTATACATCTCTTCCTCATATTGCCAGCTCAAGAATAGTAAAACACATTATATAACTGTGCATCATATGTATTTTAAAAATAATTTAAAGCATAATGAGAACACTCACCTAAAAAAAGGATATGTGTTCTTCTCAGAATGTTTTTGTCATATATATTCAAAAGAATTCCTTCATGCAGATCCTTTTGAATGTGATTGAAATCACAATGTATTTAAATTCAATTCTACTATGCACACTGGTGAAGGCCCCGGGGATGCAGTAAAAACATAATGGTCACTTGCATTGATTTTCAACCATAAGATGCAAGATAAGAATTGAATAATTTTAAATCTACTTTCTGTTTACATGAAAAGTGCAGTATGTTATTTGACTGGGTTTTCTATTTCAATACATAACATATTTGTTATCTATGTAAATTCATCATGACCCCCATCTAGATATGGCTGACGTATAATGGATCATTACAATGTCCCAAAGACTGCTATTGGTGCTTTTACAGCTATTTCCTTGTTTAATACTGACTACAGCCCTGTGACCTAGGTTCTTTTTGTTGCTTTTATCGTTTGATTTTGCTTTTTGCTTGTTTCCATTATACAGTTGAAGATACTGAGGCTCGGAAAGGTGAAGTGTACGCTAACAGGACAAAAAGTGGCAGAGCCACATTTCAACCTCAGCGCTCCCTGCTTTAGATACCCAAATAGAATAAGGACAAAAATATTTTCTGTCTCATCAAGCTAAGCCCATGCTGATTTTGCTCTGGTTTCTGATGTCTACACTGATGATAAGATGGGTGAAATCCTGGTTTAAAAAAACAATAATTAAAACAAAATCCTTTATAGTGCTTTCGGAGAAATTTTAATGACAAATATCAAGCACCAACAAAAAAAATGGTTGAGTGAGGGCAGTGAAAGAAAAGATAAGAGCTTACAAGCAAATATTAATTAATAGCAAAATCTGATTGTTATAGTGGTAGTTATTGTTTAAATCTGAAATTTTCCAAATGTGCGTTTCCTTTGTTCCCTTGCTGCTGCCAGTGCGTCAGCACCAGATTTTTTCTCATACTCTAATTCCTACAGTATTTAGGAATGACCCCAGCAGAGCACCTACTTGCACCCCATTTGATGAATGGTGATGCTGCATTAAGTGACATGGAGGGAGCAGCATGCCATATCAATACAGCCAGCGATTAGCAGGAGGCGATGGGCCTTGATGGCAGCTAGCAGGTCAGATGGATCACGCTTCCTTAAGCACAACGGATCAGCTGCCCTCAAGCTGCAGCTTTTGTTGATGCCTGTGGAAGTCATCCCAGCCTGTCTCCAGAACAGCGTGATTTTGGCATGGTTCTTAGTTCCTGCTGCTGGATAGAGCACGTTCCACCCCTTGTCCGCTTACAGCAGCAGTGAAAAGACCCCTTAGCCCAGCTTCCTTTATGTAAAGCTGTTGGCGGGTAGTAAACAGCTGTGGGGCACACCTGGAAATGTGCTGAAAACGGCTTGTGTTTTCAGGCACACCTCAAATTCCTGAATGTGGGCACTATATTCTTATCGTGTGAATAACTTCTTCCCACAGTATTCCACTGCAGAAGTGGAGTCAGGTTTCCTAATCTCTAACTGAGTCTCTGTTGAATACATTGTACTAAGAAGGGGTTAAAATTCATAGCCAGTTACATCGTAGGCTTAATCTTTCTGTGGCAAAGAAAACTGATTTGAAAAAATTTCTGTACCTATTTCCTGCTGGCAGCCACTCTCCTTCCTCAAGAATTATTCTTTCTCAGATGGTATTATTTTCTTCCTTGACCAGTAACTGTTTACCTTGTGGTTGCTGTGTAACGAGATAGTGATAAGAGTTTTACAAGCATTATATCTAAAGTCTGTTTTGGTACCCCTAGTGGTTATTTATATACTTGTTGCTGCTGAGCATCTTTTGAACACTTTCTGTGTTAGAGGAATTTAGCGCATTAGGGGTCCGGGCTGCCCAAGTTAGAAGCCTGAATTTCTTTTCCTAACTTCCTTCAATTAAATCAGACAAATGACCAAGGATCTGTCCATCAGACAGACACATATGAGAGTCTGATTCAGGAGAGAGTGATGTGAGGAAGAGGATGCTGGGCAGAACTAATGGGGGAAGATACACAGGTGTGATGAAGAAATACCTGTCCGTCAGAGCATCTCATGCCCAGAGCCAGCAGTGAGAGTGCCAGGGCTTCGTTTGGGGGCAGCTGTTGCAAGGCTTCCACTGGAGTAGCATGCAGTGTAATCCAGGTGTTAGAATCTGACCTACACTCCCCTAGTTCAAAGTCTTCAGCCTTTGCAAAGACTCAGCGAGCTGCCTCTATCTGTTACTATATTGTTTTGTAGGTGGGGTGCATAATGTAGCTAGACTAGGTGCTCTTGCAAAACCTTTTAATCTTTGTTTTGATATCTCATATATTTCTTAGTAGAGAGAAGTATAGCAGATGTTTTTCCTCAGATACCAAAAATTAATTTAATCTATTCTCTGTTCTCTTTCTCTTTACTATCTATAACTATTCACCATGTATTGGTATATCTATCTTATTGCCCCAAGATTATAAGGAACTGAATGCATGATTTGTGTGAAAACAATTTTCTCTCTTTCATTTGTATCCCAGTACCTTTCATATGGTGGGTCCTCAATACCATTGAATGTGTAGCTAAACGCTCCTCCCCAAACCTTGTAATATGAAACAAATTTTATACGTTAAGTTATTGAAGGCAAAGTAACATCACATTTATCCTGAGTAGAAAATACAACCTTAAACATAATGGATTCAAGGTAACTTCAGGAAGGACGCAGAAAGATTAAATGAAAAGAAGGAAGAGGATGGCAGGACAGAGGAAAATTAGGAAAATTTTATTTATGATGTACAAATTTTTCTTTAGTTATGCACAAAGGGAAAGAAATGCTTTATATAAACAATTAAAAATAAACATTGTCATTTCAATCAATTCAGTGAAAAGTATACATTTGTAAAATTAAATAGCAGTTGTCTGGAATGTTGTTGTCTTATTATTTTTACAGTAAAGTGTGGAAAATGCAATACAAAGGATAGAGTAATAAATCAAGCTGCCAGCGTGATAAAACATTGCTAGAGCAATGTCACATTTAAGCTGGGCATCTGTTTACTGGGATGATGGAAGGCTAATAATGTTAGTCTTGAGGCAACAGGCATAAATGACTCCAACTTACACAACTTCAAAGGTGGGGAAGGAGGGTCTTATTAAAAAAAAACAACCAAGAAGGAGATGTGTCATTTTCAGCAACTAAAATCACAATGTCTCTGGCTTGGTTGGGACAGCGCTCTCATTTGGTGACCCCTTTATTGAATGTTCGCAGTGAAGCCAACTTCACTTCCTGTCAAGTGTCACCAATTCAATTTTTCAATCCTAAGGAAAAATTAATAAGAATTCTTCAAATATGAAAGAAGATTTGGGTCCGAAATCTACTCTGTTAAAACTGCGTTATTTTCCCACAGCAAGTGAACGATCAGCAGGCTATTGTGAAGTAAAAATGTCAATATTTTGAAGATATAGGATCAAATAATTTTAGAAGTCAAAGGGACTTTATAAGTCATCTTCAACAATTTGCTACTCCCTTAGAAATTTTTTCAGTATCTCTGGCAGATGGCCAGATAGCTTCTGTTTTAAATAAACCGTAGTGGTGGGACTGTCTTCCCTCCTAAAGTGTTCATATATTTACTTAAAATAATTATTGATTATTTTGCTGGGAAGAGACATCCTAGGTATTATACACTAGATGTGGGGGCATATCTTTAGAATATTATCCCTATTTTACAGTGAGCTAAAATTCATTTCAGTTTTTTTCCCATTAACAGGCATTGCTCAGTAAATATTAATCAAAAAATGTCTATTTATCTCGAGCTTCATGACCCAAACAACTAAATTTAATTGATAGGTAAAGAGATTGGTACATTTTCTGTATAATATATTTTTTGATGGAACACTATTCTCTATTAAAATATCAAGGTTTGCTAACTTGAAAAACACCACAATTCAAAGACGATATGTACTCACATTAAGACTAAAAGAAATAAACATCTAAGTACACTTTATCTTCTCATTCATTACTGTTTTTAACAATCTGGTCCAATTGTCAATCTTATTCCAAGAGGAAAATGTTCTATTCTGTATTCTAATCAAATTATAACTATTTTCTTAACTTTGAATTAAACTCCCTAATTGAATTTAAAGCTTACTTGGCTTTAATCATTTTGAAAACTCTGCCACTGCGAAAAATGTATAAAGAAGTTGTGGTCAGTGCTGACTGCACAAGAGGATCATATGGGAAGATTTCGTAAATACTGAGGCTCACTCACCACTAGCGATTTTGATTTAATTGGGGTTTTGTGGAACCCGGGCATTGGCAGGTTTCTAATCTTTCCAGGGGATTCTAATATTTAGCCAGGTTTCAGAACCACTGTTTAAACTTGAAATCTCTTAATGAGTCCTTCCTGTGTCTGTATATCGGTAATCAGATACAAGCCTCACTTTCTTTTCCAAGTCTATTTTCTCATGCTTCTTTCTTCATGTGTGTCAGTGCATGAAAATGATAGGAAAACAAACAACCAAATAGAAAATGGGTCAAACATTTGAACAGATGCTTCACAAAGAAGGTGTATGAATGAGCAGTCAACATCCGAAAGATGCTCAACATCATCAGTCATCAGGGACATGCAATTAATACCACTGACACCCATTAGAATGGTTAAATTAAAAAAAAAAAGATGACATTATGAAGTATGGGAGAGAATGTAGAGGAACTGTAGCTCTCATATATTGTTAGTAGGATTGCAAAATGGCATGGCCGATTTGGGAAATTTAAAGCAGTATATTATAAATCACTTATCATATGACTCAAGAATCCCATTCTTGTGTAAGACCACCCAAATAAAATAAAATGAAATGAAAACATGTACACACAGTGACTTATATACGAATATTAATAGCAGCATTATTCACAATAATCAAA